TTCATTTGCAATCAAGGAAATGTATATGTTTGGTTGTCACTCTCGATTATTACAGCTTGCCATATGCTTTCTTTCATATAGCAAACAATGTCCGGCTGGCATGAAATTGACCGCGGTGTGCTTTAAGGGACAGGATCAGGGCCTCCCGTCTCTATTTATGCAATAAATAATATATGTAGAAATGATAACACTACTAAATTTACAAATATTGCAGATGCTAATGAATAATGTAGTCCTTACTATGCTTAAAATATATCCCTTTACCTATTGTCAGCGAATATAAATGTGTTTGCATTCATAATAAACCTGAAAATCCTGTAGATCATCTAATGACAAGGCAAATGAGTATATTACCACCTTGTGGTAATACACCGGTTTTAGTACTCCGGCACGTTCAATTTAAATAGCTGGTTCATTCGTACACCTTCCGAACATGCAGCGTCTGTCAGGCACCCGGGATCTTCCCAAGATTAGCACCATCAAACAATTCAATTCACGTTGCACAGCTTGTGAATTAAGATGCTGAAGATAACAAACATTGCATAATATATATGTAATAATATTACGTTTTAACACACACACACACATCGAACTTAGCAACTCATTGAAAGCATACACGTGCATATTTTAAACAAATACATATTATTAGAGTTTGTGCAACTTATGATGTAAGCGGAATGTAAGCTGAGTATTTAAGCAGAATTTGTGCAACGGAACTTTTTTAGCAATTTTTTTTTTTTTTATCCATCATTACTAACATATTTTTTGGCCGCATCCACACCGCGGCAAGCGTTCGGTGGGCAGTAAACGTTATTCAGAGAGGAAACGTAGACTGGTTAATAAAGAAACAATCTTACTCGTGAAAAAGAAAATAATAAGACATTTAAATAAATCACCTCCCATTCGTTCCCTCCTATCCGAGGACTGCAATTCTAAAAGAAACGTGACTACGAAAATTGCGTAATACTTGAGCCGTGCAAGGTGAACTTTGCTAAAGATTATCAGGGTAATATTACCAAGAGGTACATTCATCTAAATCACACGCACTCAAACTCACATAAAGTTTGCAAATATTTACAGCACACTTAAATATACGCACATGAGCATGTATGCATACATGTATGTGTACGTATATAGATAAATGAATATATATATGCATATATATGTGTATATATACATATATGTATATATATACATATATGTATATATATGCATATATATATATGTATATATACAACACATATATGTGTATATATAAATACATATATATGTATATGTGTGTGTACACATATGCATTTGTATATATATAAAAAGGGCCGGGTTGCGACTAATGAAATTATGGGACCCCCTCAGACGGGGCCTCCCTCCATTATGGATTAAGACCCCATTAATTACAGCTAGGGACTCAAACTGGGATCCCTTATCTCAAACAGGGCCCCTTGATATCATATAAAAGGCCTCAAACAAGGGCATTTTATCACAAATAAAGAGCCACTTTATAAAATTGATTTCCAGATTCCCGAGCCCCTTTTTCTTAAACTGAAATCCACCTGAATTCCATCTTCAGGTCTGAGGAGGAAAGGGAGAGGAAGGGGCATAAAAGAGAGAGAGGAGAGGCAACGCGGTTATACAGGGCAGGTGATGAAAGCGAAGGGAAGTCAGGTCAGGTCGGAGGATCTGGCGGCCTATGTGCAGGGTGGCCGGCATAAGGGAGAAGGCGGAGGATGTGGGAAGGAGACTTTCGGCAGACAGGCGCCAGTCTTACTAAGCGTCTGTCTCAACATAAATACGCTGCATCCAGGGGACACAACAACAACGCCCTCTTTTGCCATCAGTGGGACACAGGTCATCAGATGGATTGGTCAGCGGCGTGAATTGACTTTCCTTCCGCTGATGTCCACGTCCACGGACTAGGGGAATCCTCCTTAATCAAGCTGCTGCCTATTTTCACCTTGAACTGTGGCTTTTCCCCTGCCGATAGTCTCCTCGCTTCCCATATCCTCCGCCTTCTCCCTTATGCCGGCTACCCTGCGCATAGTCGTCCCTTCGCCTCCGTTCGTGTGTCCTCCCCTGCCCCGTTGCCTCTCCTCTCTTTTTATACCCTCTCTTCCTTTCCTCTTCAGACCTGAAGGTGGAATCCAGGTGGATTTCGAAACTGTAGTTTCATTTTCAATAAATCTAGTTTTTGCATTGTGGGTTTTCTACCTTAGTATCAACACGGAAGAGTGTTTTGCCATTCACACACACTCACATCAGCCAAAGCCATTCTGGCTTACTGTGCTACATATATAAAATAAACATATGTACACACACACACACACACACACACATACACACACACACACACACACACACACATATATATATATATATATATATACATATATATATATATATATATATATATATATATATGTATGTGTGTGTGCAATGTATACCGAGGATAATGAGTAATGTCTATTACTAATTTTGTGTTTGGTTTCAAGCAAGGTAGTCGCAATGAAATAGAAAAGGCTTTAATTATTGACTTTATTTCGTGATGGTATTTAGCCATATAAAAACAATTTACTGACATTTTACCAAGACCTGTGGCTGCTATATGAGCAAGATGAACCCTGAGTTGTCTTCGTGAAGCGAGAGGGGTCAACGCCGATGTTCATGAAGGCGGCTTCACAACGCCTGTAATATCTGTCAGCGAGACTTGGTGAGCGGGAGAAGATGAAGGCGAAGTCGGAATAATAGCCGAAGTTGTATCCAGAGCAGCTATAGATGCACGAGAAGTTCTCGTAGTCAGTATCCAGAACCACGTAGGGAGCAATCCAGGCTGAAAAGAAGCGAATTGTATTGTTAATCATACTATTATACACTTTTTTGTATGAATTACCTAAACATATAGTATCTACTTCGTGTCCACTTGCGTATAAAATTTTATTGTGAATACTCACATCCTTCGTAGTCCACGGAAAGATGAGGTTCTCCGAAAGGATTGGGCAGAACCTGACCCTTACGTGTCATTGGGTTTCCTTTGGCATCAATACCAGTGGACCTGACGTTGAACTTGGTTCCATCTGTGAAAACAAGTTTATCTTTCTGATTCCTTTTAGAAGAGTAAACTAAGGGTAAGTTAAGTTTGCATGTCAAATATAATATGATAGACAACCGTAAGACACTTACCAAAGGTATATTCGTTACGGACACACTGGTGGATAAGTTGGTAAGGGTTGTTTGTGAGGGCTATTTCATACCACAAACCAGCATACTGTAATTACAGAAGCATATTCTAGTAAATGTTGTATATGTAATATATATAAATTGTATATCATTGTTACTTTTAAATCTAAAATGAACTTACCTTGGAATGATTAGGCCTTTGTTGCTCATAAAGGCTTCTTTCGTCAACAAGGGGACATTTTCCCGGCACGACGAAATCGGGGATTTTGTCGGCAGCAGCGAAGGCTGCGAGAGCAAGGAACAATAGTGAAGTCTTCATGATGCTCCTGCAGTGTCAGTGCCGTCGGAAAGTCTAGTGATTCTTTATATACAAAATGTGTGTCAGTAACAGTGCACAGAAGTCATATAAAGAAACCTTAATTGCAGATCAACCGTATGGGATATGCACGTACACTCTCTTCCATTAGTTTAACCATATGGATATTAATATAGAGATATCGAGAACTTGGATCACAATCCATAGAAAAAAGAGGAAAATGAATCCTAATGATATCCAGCGACGACATTTGTAATCTTCGGAGCTCCTCCCTAATTTGCATAAGCTCCGTGACATATAAAAAGCATGAACTTGGTGTCAAAAATCACACATCACAAGCCACCATGTTGAAGGTACTCGTAGCTGCTGCCCTCGTGGCTCTTGTCGCAGCCGACGGCATCCCAGATTTCGTAGCTCCTGGAAATTGTGCCAAAGTGGCAAATCAAGACAACTTCGACCTTCGCAGAGTAAGTTGTTTTACAATCTATTATATATATTATCCTCACTTGTAAATTGATTAATAAGCAGTTGCATCCCAGTGCCTAAGTAACACCTATTCCCCAACAGTATGCGGGTCGTTGGTATCAAGTCCAGATCATCGACAACGCCTACCAGCCATACACTCGCTGCATCCACTCCAACTACGACTACTCTGACTCTGACTATGGCTTTAGGGTGACCACAGCTGGATTCAGCCCCAACAACGAGTACCTGAGACTGCAGGGCAAGATCTACCCTACAAAGGACTTCCCAGCTGCCCACATGCTGATTGATTTCCCTACCGGTATACATATTAATTTTTTTTATATGCATATTTAATCTGTTCATTATTGTACATGATAGAATCCAAGGATTGGATATAGACCAATCACTTTTTGTAACCGTGTTGTCCCTTCTTTTACCAACAGTTTTCGCCGCTCCCTATGAAGTGATCGAGACTGACTACGAGAGTTATTCCTGCGTGTATTCCTGCATTGACACAGACAAGTACAAGTCTGAGTTCGGCTTCGTGTTCTCCCGTACTCCACAGAACTCCGGTACAGCGATTGACAGATGCGCCTCCGTCTTCCGCAGGAACGGCGTCGACTTCTCCCTTTTCAACGTAGTTCCTCATACAGCCGAATGTGTTTACAGGGCATGAGATATACAGCCCACTATATATCTTTGTAATCATGTCACTGGTAACCTCTATAAATAAAATATAGCTGGAACTTACAACATGCATTAATATTCCCCTTCCCCCCAAAAAAAAAATGTGATACACAAACTGCTAGATACAGAAAACAAACGGAAGTGTGTGTGTGTGTGTGTGTATGTGTGTGCGCGCGCGTGTGAGTTTTTATGCATATATATTATCATATATACATATACATACATATATCTATATATATTCAAATATATATTTATGTATGCATGTATAAGCATGTAATATATGGATGTGTTTGTATACGCATATACATATTGTGTGTATATACCTATATATATGATTTTGTGTGTATACAGACCTTATATTCTAGCCGTGCAGGAACAGATGTGGTACATGATACACTGAATGCAAAAGGAGTATGGTCCACAACTCCATATAGTTACACAATGGATACTATCCCCTATACAGTAGGGCGATAAAAGATATGTAAGTTATGTGTAAGTACATATACATACACACATATATATACACTATATATACATATATCATATATACATATACATATCCACATACGTACACACACATACATACATATGTATACAATGAAGGTAGACTCATGGATATATATATATATATATATATATATATATATATATATATATATATATATATATATATACGTATACACATTCATACACAAACATAGATAAATGGATAGATAGGTGTAGATGTAAATTAGATAAATATGATGTAGAAAGATGTATATACTTCTGTATATGATTATGTATATGCATATGTATGTATATACATTACATCTGTATATATGTACGTAGCTTCTCATACAGCCGATAGTATTTATAGGGCATAAGATATACAGCCCTCTATATTTCTTTGTCATTATGTCACAGGTAACCTCGATAAATAAAACTTGCAACATATAAACATTATAAACACAAACATGTATATATATGTATATACATACATACATATATATATATATATATATATATATATATATATATATGTGTGTGTGTGTGTGTGTGTGTGTGTGTGTGTGTGTGTGTGTGTGTGTGTATGTATATATATACACATGTCATGTGTGTGTGTGTGCCTTTGTTTGTGTTTACATGTATATTTAGCCGTGCAGAAATAGACGTAGTACTTACTATCACGGTGATATATCCACGCGGCAACCATATATATATGTATATGTATATATATGTATGTATATATATGTATGTATATATGTATGTATATATACATACATACATACATACATACATACACACACACACACACACACACACACACACACACACACACACACACACACATATATATATACATACATATATGTGTGCGGCTGTTACCCTGTTTGATAACACGTTTGATAACATTCGGATGACCAGCCGGTCCTTCAAATCCCCCTCTCTCCCTCTATTTACCCATCTATCTATTCCCCATCAGGCCATTCATGTAGATATCGATCTATCAATCTCTGTCTCTCTCTTCTATTTAATAACACTCTAAGTTGCTTAAATCTGACTATCAAAAAGAAGCTCAAATATCGGAAGCGACGAGACAGACGATTTGTATCAGGCACTAGTTTTTCCTTTTCAAGTTATTGTTCCGTATTACCAGTGCCGATGACTTTAGTGATTTCAGTCCGGAAATAATAAGTATGATAGTAGTGACAACAATGACAGTGATGGTAATGGTAATGAGAGAAACATATATAGTATTAATAATGATAATAATAATAGCAATAATGTTAGTAACAATGATAATAAATGAGAATGCTGCTGATGATAACTACAACAATAACAGTAATAATGATAATAATAATAATAATAATAATAATAACAATAATAATAAAATGTCGATTTTCTTTCTTTTTGGGGGGGTTTAAGACGAAATTTTTTTACGCGTGTTCTGAAACATACGCTTCTTCCCTTTTCACCTGCATCCAACATTCAAATCTTCATAGTGCTTGTCAGATAAATATTTTTCAGATTCGCTATTTCATAATTCATTCGTTATATTAGTCTACATTCAGAGATATCAAACTAGGAAAAAGTTAAAATGTATTCTGAGGGTTAAAGAAATGAGAAAGAGAATGAAATAGACTGTATTCTGAAACAGATTCTAGTCATACGCATTTCATTCTTATGAAGAGCCGCGCTGTTGGGGAAATAAAGTCATAATTCTCCTCAATAATTGATATCCTGACTGATCGCCTTGTTTATTGATGTAAACGAATAGGCTTTTTTACCCAGTTTTCTACAAGTCAGGTATAAGATTTGAATATATGATTACTTACATTTTTTTCCCGATACTTGACAGTATTAATTTCTTATTATGCACACACATGTACAAACGTGTCACTGTCAGTGTGTATATGTACTGCATGTAGTCACGATAATATGTAACACTATTTTGAAACCAGTAATCTAGATTAATCTTTCCTTAGACTATTTATCTTACAGTTATACTAATCACGCATATACCAAAGCAGGATCATAAAATCATCAGTTATCATTTTAAAAACATGTATGACATTTCAAATCTACCATAAGCTGACCTTAATCACTAACATAGTGTTGACATATGGTAAGATTATTTAGTCTGTCATCACATTTCTCATTTTCCTTTATTTCGGTTTATTTTCTGTCTATTAGTTGGCGTACCATACAGTTTGGGGATATTAATGCATGTTGCAAGTTCCAGCTGTTTTCTTTATAAAGTGGGACATGATTACAAAGAAATACGAGTATAGAGGGTTATATCATGTCAACGCCGTTCCTGCGGAAGACGGAGGCGCATCTGTCAATCGCTGTACCGGAGTTCTGTGGAGTACGGGAGAACACGAAGCCGAACTCAGACTTGTACTTGTCTGTGTCAGTGCAGGAATACACGCAGGCATAGCTGTCGTAGTCAATCTCTATCACTTCATAGGGAGCAGCGAAAACTGTTGGTAAAAGAAGGGACGATGCATAATTAGAAATAGTGATTGGTCAGTAACCAATCTTTGGATTTTACTATATAAAATAATGCAAAGTTTAAATGCGCATAGCGTAGAATTCCATATACATGCCAGATGAGAAGTCAATAAGCATCTGGAAGTCCTTTGAGTCAGAGTAGTCGTAGTTGGAGTGGATGCAGCGAGTGTGTCTGGTAGGCGGTGTCGATGATCTGGACCTGATACCAGCGAGCAGCATACTGGTGGGGAATAGGTGCTACTTAGGCACTGCGGCACATCTTACCCTGCGAAGGACGAAGTTGTCATGATTTGCCGTCGGCTGCGACAAGAGCCACATCGATACATGGTTCTTGTATCGACAGATACCATAAAAATCTATTACTCTTCCTTTCTTTTACTACGAACACCTTACACATAACAAAACAAAAAAACAAAAATGGATAGTACATATTCGCAGTATGTATTGCACATTCGCATACATATATAGCAGCATACATACATACATATATATGTATATATATATATGTATGTATGTATATACACACATTTGCATGTTTGTTTATTATGTGTATGTAGACGTACATAATATACACACGAAATCGCAATAAGTCAGCATAGCTTTTGCTGATAATGAAGTTAAATCTGGAATGAGAAATATCTAATTCAGCGCCAAAGCATGTGTCTGTATTTCTGCTTGGGATCTAATATCGTAACTCTTATTACATATTAACGAAATCTTCATATAATTACTAACGGATATGAATGCGTTTAAATAAATACACACACATATACATTTGTATATTTATTTGTTTATTCATATATGTGTATATGTGTGTATAAGTATATATATGCGTGTGTGTTTGTATATACACAAATCTAAACGCACACACACGCGCGGATAATATATGTGTATATATATATATATATATATATATATATATATATATATATATATATATATATATATATATATATATACATATATAAATGTATGTATGTATATACACACATTTGCATGTTTGTTTATTATGTGTGTGTAGACGTACATAATATACACACGAAATCGCAATAAGTCAGCATAGCTTTTGATGATAATGAAGTTAAATCTGGAATGAGAAATATTATTATATATTAACGAAATCTTCAAATAGCTACTAACGGATATGAATGCGTCTAAATAAATACACACACATATACATTTGTATATTTATTTGTTTATTCATATGTGTATATGTGTGTATAAGTATATATATATGTGGGTGTGTTTGTATATACACATATCTAAACACACACACACACCCCACACGCACACGCACGCACACGCGCGCGCGCACACACCCACACACACACACACACACACACACACATACACACACACACACACACAGGGCCGTCGGGAAGGCAGCACTGCAGGGGGGGTGTAATGTTTCAAATTTGCCGACAAAGGGCGTGGTCATTGGGCGTTGGGCATTGGTGACTTTATTAGTCACACAATGACTCTATGTTCTGTGAACCATTCGTAGAGAGCGCCGACTAATTAGCAGCAGAAATTGTCAAAATTTACCAATTTGCCGACAGGTGCTTTTTTCATGAATAAATAAGTGTGGACCTGCAATGATGCTGGAGGAAAATGGACAAATATATTGCACAAAGAACTGAGTGGCCAAAAAAAGAATAAGAGTAAAAGCAACATGAAATATATATGTATATATATATCTAAATATATAAATATGTATATATATATATATATATATATATATATATATATATATATGTATGTATATATATATATATATATATATATATATATATATATATATATATATATATATATAACAAAAACAAATGCAAAGAGGTAAGTGGAATCACGAAGTAGGAGGAGATTAACTACTCTGGGTCAGGAGTAAGCTGGACAGCCGGACCCAACTACACGTTTAGATCAAGATGTAAAAGAAGTTCTAAACTCCAAATTATAAATGGCCGCTCTATATATTTACAAGCGTGGCATTATGGAAGTTCTAAAGTCGAAAATGTTGTAAGCATGATGTGATAAACTAACTATAACAAACTATATGTCAAAACTGAATTTGAGGGTCAATTGATGATGAATATATAATAGGAAAAGTTGAAAAGTTTAAAAGTAAGTGATCAAATAAATCTTCAGCAAGACTGGAAGAAGTAAAAAAGGATCATGTGAGTGATTTTAAGACCAAGATAACAAATGAGTGATGACAAATATGTAGATGAGAGAGTTGGAAATGCCCATGAAACATATATATAGAAAAAAAATATATATATATATATACATATGAAGAAAAGATAGAATAAAATGTTTTGTAATAAATGTTGGAAGACTTTCCGATTAATCTTTGTTTCACTTAAATTAAAATGCTTTGAAGAAAAACGATTTCTGGAATGAAAGATTTTATGAAAGAAACAAAAATAAATAAATAAATAAATACTGAGACCTATAACAAGAAAACAATAAATCTTGGATATCATGGCTTTAGAAAGAGCAGATATTTTCTATTTTAAATCCTCAACCACTAAAAAAACAACAACTAAAGGCTTTGTAAAGTTTTTTAAGAAGGTCGACCATGGAATTTTATACCATAATATAAAGGACCTTAGAATCAGAGAAGTATCATATGGATACGTGATAGCTTAACAAAACGCAAACAAAAGTAAGTATCACTATTAAAAATGGAGTGACATAAGATAATTTTTTTTAACAGAGGATAAAGATAAACTAAGAGAGGAACTATATGCCATTTGTGAATGAGCCAGTGAAAACAATATGAATTTCATTCTGAGGCATTATAAAGCATAAGATATAGTTCAAGACCAAGGTCATACATGTGTGTGTTTGCGTGGTTGAGTGTACGCGTATACGCATGCGTAGTGTACACATATGTAATAAAAATGATTACAGTCAAATATCAGGAAGTAGTGTAAATAATCATATATCAAAGTTGTCAAAAATAACAATATGCAAGAGAGTGAAGCCGCCTTCATGAGCATCGGTGTTGAACCCTCTCGCTTCACGCAGACAACCCAAGGTCGATCTTGCCCATACAGCAACCCTAGATCTTGTTAAAATCACAGTAAATTACTTTTATACGGATGCATAACATATATCATTAAATAAACTTTTCTCTTTTTTTTTGTTACGAGCACTTTACAGGCTTACTCATTCACAGGAGGTGATACAATCCAGATAATAACTAGTAATAACTGTGACGTGCTCCCAGTATTACGGTCATTGTCATTGAATATGCAAGCTCACGCGGAAGAATAGTGCTTTGAGAATTAACTTTCAGAATAGAATTCACATTTTGCCTCTTTCGGTAACAGAAATTCAGAAGAAACTGTTCCCCATCCTTAATTTCTTTGCCCGTAGAGGTCTATTACGAAAAAAATACATAAAAATGAAATACAACTCTGAAAATAAAAACTCCCCAAGGCTTCGTTACATCACACGATATAAAGATTCTTTCGACAAACTATGAATACATTTGGATATACGTGAAAGGATAGGAACTAAGGTACGTTGGTGTTAGAACAAATGTGGGACAATTTCACTTTTGAAATACTTACCGACGTCAGAACATCCATATTCTTGTTGTTTTAACATCCTTCATTATCATATAATTATTATTGCTATCATTATTATTATTACTATTATTACTATCATGATCATTGTCACTATTCTTTTCAATATCATCATTAGTATTATTATGATTACCATTATCATGACCATTGCCATCAACATTACTACTGCTGCTACAGACATTATCAATACCTAACTGGTCTGATAACTTTGAATGAAACACGAAATGTATGGGTATTAGCGTGTGTCATTAAAAACATGATATTCCAACATATATAATCCGGGTAATATTACACGTCTCAAACATTACGCAGCGCAAGTGACCACGTTTCATTCAGCGCTCGTAGGCCTCGTTTGGGGTTTGCCGTTAATCATTTTTTTTTCTTTTCATTATGTAATTCCATTGTGTTCTTTAAATTAGACAGTGTATCTCACTTTTTCTTGATACGAATGCCCTGAAGTATTTTCATAGTTGTTGTGCCTAGGAATGTACAGACGTCGTGTCACATAACCACCATGACCTGGCACAGGATGTGGTGCTCCCCTGAATACTCGTGGGTTTATTTAGAGAGCATTTACATATTCAAGTGGAAGTGTTAAGGTATTTGATTTGTGATGTTTCATATATACACCTATACAAGTGTACATTCTGGTATTTATAAACGAATAACTGATATTATATATTTGCTTATAAATCGTAGTCTGAAAAAAGCGTCATCTCAAGCATTGCGTGAGGCGTGCAAGCGCAACTTTGCTTCAGATTATCAGGATAATTATGCAGGTGCAAATGCACCCAATCACAAACACGCAAATATACCCAAATATAAAAGCATATGTAGTTATATGTGTGTGTACACACACACACACATATACACACACTCTCTCTCTATATATATATATTTATATATACGCATATACACATATATAGACATACATACATACATACATTTTAAAGAAACGAAAAGAAGATAAGGTGGGTAATATTCAGAAACGGATTCCAGTCCATGTGCTCTCTCTCTCTCTCTCTTTCTCTCTCTCTAGCGGTGAGTTTGCACTTCCACTAATTCTTAAATGGGCGCGTTGTTGGGAGAGGTCATGATACTCTTTACTGATTATTATCCTTGTTGTACTTATGTAAGTGCCATTGATGATGATAACAGCAACAAAACCAGAGGTGTTTTTACAAGATACATTTATTTTTTGTCTTATCATATATAACCACTAGTTAAAGTTACAATATTTGCAGATGCTTGTTCTTATTACTTACATATACACATACTGTATGCACACACACATATATACACAAACAGGCATACGCACATGTGCACACACACACACACACATATATATATAATACATATATACGGGTGTACGTCCTTGTGTATGATCACATACAAACATACCCACACGGACACAGAACAGAACTGTCGGTTAGTATATACATGATATATCAGCATGTGGCACTTTTTTATAATTTCAGTTTTCCTTAGACTAATTATGTTATAGTTCTATTATTTAAGGAGTATTAAAAATATATATCCTACAAAATAATTTTTAAAAAACGCTTGGCATTGCTACTCTGCCATGGGATTACACAGAGCAGTGATGTCATATGTTCACTATACTCA